TCTTAAGAAATTAGGAAAAAAATTGTGTGAAAAAGCCATGAATAAAAGGACAGGTCAGGATGCTTTCCCAATGTGTTGTTCTGTTCTGCTGTTGTTTTTCATGTTTTCTACCGTTATATAAAAATTTAATTCTAGACCACAGTACACTTATCCAGCTTTATTTCAGTTTCCCGAGAAAGCAAACGAGCTCTTGCTGTAGCCCTGTAGGTAGGCTGTTAAAAAGAATAGGCACGTCAAACATGTAGGCTACCGAGTACATTTTTAAGCCATTTTGGTTGGCTTCTATAATTTTTTTTTTTTTTGGTAAATGTTTTATTACGGCGCTCGCAACTGCATAAGGTCATATGAGCGCGTGGGACACACCAAACATTTTCAGTTCATAGGAATTTTTTAATTTTGCCCTGGTGGCGGCCGAAGCCTACTCTTTTTGATTTTGGACCACCGAGGGATCTTTAACGTGCGCAACTTGCACACGGGACCTCCGAGATTTTTCGCCCTTGTCCGAGAAGATTTGTTGTAGATCTTTCCAACCATATTATGATCAGGGGTGTGGCTGAAAGACAGCAGTAAAAAGGAGCCAAGGAACATCAGAAGAAAGACTGCAGAATGAGAAAGAGTCAGGAGCCCAAAGCAGGGGGCAAAGGAGATGATTCGAGGGAGTGCGGACACAAAGTGGAGATGAAAGCAGACGACAGAACATTGTTAAAGAGCAGGAAAGGATATGAAAGAAGAAGATTTGAACTGTTTGAATGAGAGACGAACACCTTAACCTCTAGACCAGGAGAGCCTCCATCTAGAATCTGATGTCAGTTTGTTACCTCACGATTTCAGAAGGGTTATTAACTATAGCGCGCAGCACAATAAATGAGCACAGTTTTACGGCACTTGCAACACAATCAGGTCATATAAATTTTATTAAAGCCTAAGATTAGAGGTGTTACAAGAGGGGTGACCAACACACACAAAAAAGAAGGAAAAGAGATCAGGACGATTTCTGTTTGTTAGAAAAGAAGGAGTAAACCACACCAGAGCATCAACCAACCATCGGCCTCCTGCCTTTGTTTTCATACTGTGTAGTGTTAATTGGTACATGACGAAAAGATCCCCACGTCCCTCCGATTTCCATTATAATGTGCGTGACAGTTAATCGACTGTATTTTGAATGGGAACCCATTTTGAATTGCAATGTTTATAAAAATGTCCAGCACTGAGCGCGGAGTTGCTCAACTCTCTCTCTCTCTCTCTCTC